TCCATGGATTTAAGAAAAACGTACATGATTTTACCACAATGAAGATTTGACTAAAGCCCTCATATTCTAATGTTTTTCAAATTCAACATGTGTAGAGGTATATTTTCCAGCTTTCTTTTATTTTTGAAATGTTGATTTAACTTTAAAACAGTTTTTTTATTTTGAAGTATTAATTTTATTTTACAACCTTTTTAATTTTGAAGTGTTTTTATCATTTACCACCCTTTCTCATTTTCAAGTGTGGATTGAACCCACAACCTTGGCATTATGAACAGCACGCTGTGACTAGCTGAGCTGCCCGGCCATATGCGAGGTTATGCAAAGTTAAAGGTCAGCAAGGATTCTATGGTGTAGCGGTCTGAATCCAGGCATCTCAGTGCAAACCTCTGTGGAAACTTGATGCGTTGCATCTGACATCTTCAGATTTGGAACCTCAAACTGAAACAAAGCAGAGGAGTTCAGTTTCTGTAGTGTAGTGGTTATCACATTTGCTTAACACGCAAAAGGTCTCTGGTTCGAAACCAGACAGAAACAGCTTTTGTACGTTGTGCCTTTCACAGGGTGTTTGTGAGACAACAAGAGTCCATCCATCCATTGACCTTCAATCTGACCTTCATGTTTTAATATTTCCTCCTCTAAATTGTTTTTTTCCTCATCCTGAATCTCCATGAAAACATTTCATGGTTTTGTTTCTTCGTCTTGCTTCCTGAATCTCGACAGTTAATCTGGAATATTCCAGTAAATCCCCCTACCCGGATGAACCAGTATTCTCAGTCTGATTCTTGAAATAATTCCCACCCTGATGCTTTTGACCTGGCCTGACCTTTTCTCCTGCTGAACATCCAGGTTATCCCGTCTTCATTAGCGCTTTACAAACTTTAAACTGACTCCTTTTTTCCTCTAAACATCATTAACTTTTTAATTATTTGCTCCTCAAAGATCATTTTATGTCCTTTGTCTCGTGTTTTATTTCCAACAATCCTCATTTCCAGGCTGGACAGTAAAGCCCTTGTGGATTTAAAATTAATTAAAATAAAATTTTCTGGATAATAGCAAAAGCTTCAATTTATTTTCCTTTCATATTTTTATTCAAAGGTTTCATCTGCTGCACCTGTAACGTTCTGCCCACCTTGAACTGTTGCTAATCGATGTTGGGCCATAAAGCCCGTCTGCGGCGGAGCGCCGTGTCTTATTTATGAAACTGGATGTAGAGCGGAGACCGGGCCGCTGGAATAACTCCCAGTTAATGAAGCAGATGGTATTTCTACAGCAACACCTGGGAAGTCCAGCTGCTCCGGAGGCGGGAATTAATCCCACTTAGAGTCTGAAAAAAGATTCGTCCGCGCCTCGTCCCGGTTGTAATAAACACTGTTTGCACCGAACTGAACTGAACTGAATGGGTTAGGTTCAGAAAGCTTCTTGTAATCCAGCTCAAAGGTGAACCCACAAATTAGGATTAAAACCATCAAAAAATTATTAAATTCTGACTAATAACTTTGATTTACAAGTTTTTTTCAGAGATCTTATTTTCTTCTGAGATTTTTATTTTTTTCACAGATTTCTCTGTTTCTCAGATTGGAATCTTTTCAGAATTCCAACTTCTCTCTGACTTCCGACTTTTTTCTCAGATTTCCAACTTTTTTTTTCTTGTATTTGAGACTTTTCCCAAATTTATATTTTGATTTTTTTTTTCACAGAATCCAGATTCTTTTTTGTCTCAGATTGGAATTTAATCAGAATTCTAAATTTTTTCCTCAATATTCTGACCTTTTGTCTCAGATTTCAGATTTTTTTTTGTACTTTTTTCTCCAATTTTTTACTTTTTTTTCATTCTCAGATGTGTCTTAATTATATTCAAAATATTCAAAAAACTGTTTCTGAATTTATATACCAGAATTTTAAATTTTGAAACTTCTGAGATTAAAGTCAGAATTCAGTTTAAAAACAATCGACACGAACTTCCCTCATTAGGAGCAGAGACATTTTTTCTAGTGGCCCTAATCCTCTCCCGTACATATCAGTGTGGGACTAAACCAAAAAACTGTCCAACTCCATGTGTAGGTCCTTTTATAAGGTAATATGGACTCCTGCAGTGCAGAGTGAAGGCTCGGGTTGGAACCTTGTTAGCAAGGAAAACACTGGAACATGACAGGATTCAGCAGGAATGTGAGGAAAACCTCAAACTGGGCTCCAATTACTGCATTCTGTCCTGTACAATAATAAGTAATTATGACTAAAACGAGCCCCGCTGATGGCACGCGGGTCATAAAGGAGCCGCTGTTGGGAAATGAGAAACACGCCGAGCAAAACTCACCCTCCTCTGAGTCACGTTGGTCCAGCTGAGACACATTTAGAGACGCAAACAACCCAAAGATTCTAGGTGGCCTAGTCAAAGATTCACCTTCTAAAAAACACAACAGGACAATGATGGATGGATGGATGGATGGATGGATGGATGGATGGATGGATGGATGGATGGATGGATGGATGGATGGATGTTCGTAAAGTCAGCATGAATCTACTTATTTGTTGTTTTCATATAAAATATTTCCCTTCTCTTCCTCTCCCAACAGGAAAGGCGGCCATCTTTGACCTCCTCTCCCTCCCCTCGCCTCTTCCTCCTCCCTCCCCAGCTGACCCTCCCCTCTCATTGGTATTTGAGCGATGTAAGCTCCTGCCTGGCACATTTCATGGCTAATCAATGCGATCACCGCCGCAAACAGCCGATCAATCGTCCAGATCGCCGCATCATCCGGTCCGCCCGCCACCATGAGTGATGGCGACACCTGTAATTGGATTCACTCCGCCAAACAACGGAGGAAAACCGCCGGTTCAGAAAAAAATGAGACAATTACACCCAACAGTAATGCCCTGCGTTCAGACCGACTCATATTTATTCTGAGAGGCAAAGCGGAGCAGAACGTTCAGCAGGCGCTGCTCAGATGTGTTTTATTGAATTTGTCAGGCTGTTTCCTTCTCAGAGGCCCGATCTTTTCCTCTATCTCTTGTATCCATCACACACACACACACACACACACACACACACACACACACACACACACACACACACACACACACAATGAAAATGATGGGTTTCTCCCAGCACCCTGGGCCCCGCTCGACCCCTGCACCAGATTAAATCTGACACTCATGACCAGCTCTGACAGCGGGGGAAAATGCTGCGGGCCGGGATCTGGAGCGGGCTGAAGTGTTAGTTTGGAGTGACGGACTAATTAGGGCTTTCCTGCATCTAGCTTTATTTTCATATTTACTCCAGGAGCCAAGCAGCATTCCCAGACCTGTTCGGGAGAAGGAAGGTATTCCTGGACCGGAGGAAGGCAAAGATGAGGCTGAAAACTGGGATAAAAGCCACAACTACGCCCTCTGCTGGTGAAAACAGGCACCGCAGGAGCATCAAGCAGGAATCAGGTTCAGTAATTTAGATGTTTATGGTGTAAAACTGACAAAAATAAACTATGAGTGCTGCACAATCAAAATATATCAGTAATAATTTGAGTTATTTATTTCTAAAAAGGAAAAAATGGGGTTCATTTATCAAAGAGAACATATTTTCACCATCTTGTTCATTTAATTATAAATGAAACATGAAGAATATTTAGATACAAACTATATAGCTATGTAGCTATCAAATAATTATTTAGCTGACAGCTGCATATTCAGTTAGCAAACTACATACTTAGCTCCAACATTTAGATAAGTATATTGTATTTAGCTTCAAACTAGATATTTCAAGCCAGCACTGAGCTAAATATTTAGTTAATTATCAAAATAAATATTTAGCTCCAAATTAAATAGTTAGCTGTAGTTAGCTAGCGTCAAACTAAATATTTGAAGCTAGCTAAATATTTAGTCATTTAGATGTCATGTCCTTTTTACTCTGTGCGGTCCGGTTGGGTCGCACTGACACTGTTCGCTTTCATGAGAAATCTGAAAGCTGCTAAAATCTGACACTACTCCATTTTTGCTTGGTGCAGCGCCCCTACAGGCGAGGAGGGGAACAGGATTTTTATTTAGTTTGGATCAGCTTACACTGCAGCGTGAAAGCGAACCGCAGCAGCTACAAATGTAACAAATGTTGCAACTTTGATCCCAAATTGAATCAAATCTGCCAAACTATCAGGTGTGAAAACACATTAAACTTCAGACTTCTCCTGCAGAGCCAAAACCATCAACCAGCTCTTATTCTCTTCTGAACTCAGACTCTGAAATGAAAATATTTTACTAAGCGAGCCGATAAATTTATGGAGCGGCTTTCTCTGCGCTGCCGTAAATCATTCAACATTGTTATTAACATAAAACATTATGGGATAAATCCCTGCAGCTGTAATAAAGCAAACAGCTGTTAGCGGCCAAAAGTCCGCGGCCCTTTTAGAAGACGAATGGGATGAAATCACACGAATGGAAAACATCCCTCAGGTCAAAGCGCATGAATACCCACAAGCCTTAGCATGTACAACACGTTACTTTATCACGAGTCGTATTTCCTGCGGCGTAGTTTGGGACCGATTTGTCCCCAGGGATAATAATTACAGCCTCTAAAGTTTAGCTTTTTTTGTTCCTCTGGTGATTTCCTGCCCCATGAAATTAGGCCTGGCTGCGTCCATTCATCATCCCATTACCTCCGACTGCTGCCTCTATATATAGAGCCGCTGTGGAAGGAGAGCAGAGAGGAAGGTGGCAGCAGCAGCAACATCAACATCGCCAGCAATCACACAATCACAACGCGTGATTACGGCTCGTTAGCCGAAGCAGAGAGCTTTCCAAGAAGCAGCGTTGACCTTTGTGTTGCATTAAAACAAACATCTCAGAGGAAGATGGCATCATTTGCTGTCTTAGATCTCCGATAGCTGCATCTCACCAACCTGCTTTTTATTTATTTATTTCCAACATTTAAATTGGTTTTTCTGATGGAAGCTCTTCCTTGTTTATACCCAACATAAACTCTGATATGAAATTAAAACACAATAAGTGAATTAGCTGCAATATTATTTTATTCTCTCGTTCAAAACAAGAAAATCAACATTTTACACGTTGATTTTTCTTAAAAAAACTATTTTTCCCCATAGCACTTTATAATTTACAGAGCTTATAAAAAGTATATTTTTATTGCTTCTACAAGTTAATTATGAGCAAAAATTTACAAAAAAATAAAACCAAACTTTAATACCAAAGTGAAAACTGATTTCTACAAAATAATGACAATGAGAAAAAATATTTAACAAAGTGATTGCATAAGTATGACAGAATACTAAGAAAAATTATTTTAAAAAAGTAAAATTATGAGAATAAAATCTTAATACTACAAGAATAAAGTAAAAAATTACAAAAGTAAACTTGGAATAGTATGAGATTACAGTCATATTTTGAGAATATTGTAATACTACGACTTCATTCTTGTGCAGCTTTATTTTTGTAACACTATGACTCAATTCTTGTAATATTTTTTATTTCTTAGTCGGCCCCTCCGTTGTACATAAATATTCACTTCTTTAAACTGTAGCTAACCTCTCTAAAAATACACATTTTGGCCAAATGATCTGGAGCTCCACTTAGGTTGCTAGGTAACGGGCGGAACTCTGCTGGCGTTGCTAGGTAACAGCGCAGCGCTATCAACTGCAAATTCATAATTGGAAAGTTTTTGAAATGGGTCATTTTTCAGACACTGAAAACTTGACCTTATTGCCAAAAACAGTGTTTTTTAAGTGTTGAAGTTGATTTTAGGAGCAATTTAGACTCAAATGGAAGCATGAGTGTGGGAATTTTTCCCTTCATTTTGCCTAATTTTTGATTTCCTAAAAATAATATTTATGCAGTCCCTTATTTTATGTTAACTATTTTTATTTTATTGCCATTATTTTTTTTTAAAAAAAAGTTTTACTTTGAATCATATGGTCTACTTTTCTATTTTCTTGTCTGAAAAGCCAAATTTTTGTAGTTTATGATTGATTTTAAACGCAGTAAAACATCCAAAGGGGGTGAAAACTTTTTATAGGAGCTTTGAGCTCCTTTTCTTCCAGGAAATATGTTCAGAGAGCAACAATTAAGATAAAGGTTAAACGTGTTAGACTAACAGTGACCCATGCTGGTAGCACAGAATATGATGGGGACATGTTTGACTTTTATGGGGAAGAAGAAACAAGCGGCACCACTTGTCCTGCTGTTTATTTGACAGACCCGTCAGTCGGACAGGAACCTTTTAACCGACCCATAAACACACTGCGCCTGTGGTTTAAACAAAGTCTGAGCTCCAACACTTCGTTTCTACGTGAGAACAAGCCTCTCTTTTAGTCCTACAGCAGTAGGGGGCGAGGTTTATTTTGAAAGGATCAAGTAGGAACACATCTATGAAAAGAGTTTGACCTCTGACCTTATGCTGAGTTTAGATTAAAAAGGTGGCGGCAGGTCGGACCCAAAAGGCCGTCGGCGCTGCAGCGTTATGTCGGTGGGAAAACGATGAAGCGGTGAGGGTTCACGGCGGGGTCACGGGGCCAAATGGCATATTTCTGCCTCCAACATGTCAGATCTGAACGTGTCAGTCAGAAACTTTACGCTTTAACGTAAGCATGATGGAAATGTTTACAGGAGACGTCAACGGAGCAACGCAACGTCAGCAATAAACCGGCAGACATGTTGCTGTGTGGAAACATGGCTGATCGCCGTGGAGACGAAGCTACAGAATGTAACTCATCTCACTGGGCTGCAGCAATGTTTCAGTGCTAAGATGTTCTATGGAGCTAAACTGGGGCCAAAAAGTTTGGTCTAAAATTATACATATTGAAACTGAAGAAATAATTTTGAGACAAAAAAGGATTTAAAACTCAAAAAACGATAGTGAAACTGAAAAATAACTTAGAAATAAAAAAAATAATTTATATATATTTGAAACTGATGAAAAATGTGAGATCTGAAAATAAAGATCTGAAACTAAAAGAAATATTCTGAAACTTAAAAAATATTTGAAACTAAAAATAATTCTGAACAGAATAAATGTTTGAAATCAAAAAAATCATACTTCAACCAGGAAAATAATTTTTAAATCAAAAGAAAAGGGAAACTGAAAAACAATTCTGAATTTGAAAAAAGATTTGAAATTGAAAAATTATTGTAAAAACAGTCATAAACTAAAATAAATACTTGAAACTGGGAAACAATTTTTAAAATGAAAAATAAAATTGAAACAAAAATAATTTTGAAATTGAAAAAATAAAAAAGAAACTGAAAATGTATTTTTAAACTGAAAAAAAAAACAACCTAAAGTTGAAAACATTTTTTGGAATTTTATTTGTAAAAAAAAAAGTAATTAAGTGTGTTAACATTTTTATTATATTAAATATTACGTAATAATCCAATTGAAATGAACGTATCAAATTTCAGGTCCTAATTAACTGATACACGAGGGTCGGGTTGGTCCATATTTGAGAACCAATTATTTAAAGAGATTTTTCTACAATCTGCTCAGTGACATGTGGCTTTGTGACCAAATGTTTCATTTTTAATGAGGATCAAAAAGTCATCTCACTTTGACAGCGGTGACAACCAACACCATTCTAAGGCCCACAAATGGCCCCTGCACCACATTTTGGACACCCCTGCACTCTGACGAGCATTCTTTGAAAATATGCAGATTTCCAAATAAAATAAAAGCCGAAATCCAGAGTAATTTTGACAGATTGTTTAATCTGAGGAGACAGTGGGGAGGTTTTCCTGCGTTGTGTGGGTTTCAAACAGTTTTACGATGATTAACAAGCAGTTAGCTTCCACCTCCAGCCCCATTGTTCTGAATCTGAACAATTAGGAAGCAACAATGGGGGAGTGGGCGGCTGCAGCTGCATTTTTGACTTTACTGGGCCTCAGATTTGTCCGTTTGACGGCTCAGCCGGGTTTTCACCGCCCACAAACCGAAACGCAGATCAAACAGGATCTAAAGCTGCATCCGAGCAAAACCTGTTGGGAAATATTCAAAGAGAACTGAAATAACAACCAAATCTGATAATTTCACCCCAAAAAAATCCCATCTGAGGTTCAAAGTTGAAAATCTTTTTCTTTTAAGACATTTTCAAGTTTATCTTGTAAATTTTGGAGATTAATCTCAAAATTTGTTGTTATTACGTCTTTCCCACAAGATATTAAACTATAGGGATGTTTTTTTTTTTTTTTTTTCTCATATATCACCAGACGGGCTCCGTTCGTTTTGAACTTCAAGAGTAAAATATTTGTGAGAAAAAAACTCAAGAAATTTTTGAGAAAAAGTTCCAGACTTTTTTTCTTGAACATATTTCAAGAATTTTTAAAAATAAATTTCTAGACAAAGTGGAATTTTTTTTTCTGTTTTGAAACTTAGAAAATTTTTGAAATTTAACTTTTGAAATTCAGAAATTTTCAAATCTTTTCCCTAGAATTTTTCAGACATTATTCTCTAAATTTCTGAGATTTTTCTTGCAAAATGTTGTCTACTGCCTTGGTTTTTCTAGAAATTTTCTGACTTTTTAAACTTTAAAACGTTAAAGTTTTTTTTCTAGGAATTTTGAGGTTCCTCTCAGAATTCCTGATTCTTTTTTTTCTAGCAAATTTCTGACATCTCATACTCAGAAATAGCCATGTTTTTTCTAGAAAATTTTGGAGGTTAACCTCAGAGTTCAGAGCTTTTTCTAGCAAATTTTAGAATTTTGAAACTCAGAAGTTTCCATGTTTTTTTCTAGAAAATTTCTGAGATTAATCTCACAATTTCTTGTTTTGTTTTCAAGCAAATTTCTGACTTTAGAAACCGAAATTTTCAGTTTTTTTCTGAAATGTTCTTTTGTTATTGATCTCAAAATTTCTCATTTTTTGGTGGAAATTGAATCCTTTCTATCTATTTAAAATGGCCGTAACTCACCATCATAGAACCGAGCATCAAGCCCTCAGAGTGACTTCAGTAATTGTGTTGGTGGGAAACTCAGGCAGCAGCAGGCCAACAGGAACGGGGCTGCAGATGGTATTCCGTCTCTTTCCTCCAATTCAATACACAGAAGCAATAAAGGAGTAAATAAACAGTTCAACCTTCATTAAACCTGAAGATTTGTGGCTGTTATTGGCTTTTTCTGCTGGTGAAGCGGCAGAGTGCAGTGGGAACGTCACGGACTCCGTTTCCCCACGGTGACCGGCCGCCTCCTGCACCGTTAATATCCATTTGAACTCAATCTGGTCCGCTCTGCGTGACGCCACATCAAATACTCAGCCTTCGCTTTTGTTTTGGTGTTAACGAGAGCTCAAGCAAGCCCGCTCTGATGTTCTTTACCTCATAAATGTCTCCCTTTTCCTGCTCTCATCGTATTTCCTCGCCGGTATGTGTCTCCTCTCCCTGCCGGGAACTAACTCGAAGCATGTTTGAAAACAAGATGGCGGCCCGGCCGAGCCGGCGGTTGATCGTTACAGGGGATCAACGGAGTCAGCTGATGGAAAGGTATGTTTTCACTTAAGGCTAGTCAAAATAAAAATGATGAAAGACATTTCACAATAAAATAAAATATGTTTATAAAACATTCATAAAGGAAAAGTAGTGAAAAGTTGGAATACCAAATACCTTGTAAGTGCACATATGCAGCAGCCTGATGCTGTTACTCCTGCTCAGCTTTTTACTTTTCCAACTTTTTTTTATATTTACCACTTTTGAACCAGCTTGTGAACAAATAACAAATAATATAAGTATATTCTGTTTTATTCTAAAACTAATGATGTTCCAGTTATTATTCAAAATCAATTAGTCTGGCGGATTCGGTTCAATCGGAGACCAAAGTTGCAACATTTGTTCTTTTTCGGCTGTTGTGGTTCACTTTCACACTGGATTGAGTCAAACAATCCAAGCCCTTTGAAAAACCTGTTCCCTTCCTCGCCTTTTGGGGGCGCTGCACTAAGAACTACAGAAGAAAACAACATGAAAACTTCTGAAGACACTGAGCGCAACTTCCTTTTTCACAAAATGTAAACAAAAATGCAGTGGCGATTGCAGGATTTCTCTTTTGTCTTTGGCTAAAGACCACTAGCTAACTCTCCTGCTAGCACTAGACTAGCATGTTTGTTTTGGTTGTATTTACCCAGAATCCCTGGCGCTGTAGTCCACTTCCTGCTTTTGGATCAGTACCAAAGTTTTTGGCAGTAAGTTTATGTTTCTTAGTGTCTGGAAAATAGAGAGGGCTACAAAAATCTTCTGTTACCTAGCAACCCCAGCAGAGTTCCGACTGTTACCTAGCAACACAAGCTGAGCTCCAGTGCATTTGGTCCACTGGTTTTGTTGCTTCACAATAGCTACTAGAAAAGACAAGTGTTTTGTTATTGACTTACTATCATGAAACTACTTGCTGCTTTCTTGTTGGTTGTGCAGGAGACTCCACTTCTGCTTTTCTAAGATGTGTAGTTACATAACTGCACATCCAAATAAGCAACATTTTTTTTGGGATTTAAAGTGACAAGAGGTGCTGAAGTCAAAATGTAAAGAATAAAGTTCCTTCTCCTTCAATACTTCCTAATGATTAAAACAAACAAACAAACAAACAAAATACCTTCTGGTCAGAAGAGGAAATAAAAACAAATCTGTATCAAGTAGGAATGAATCTGAGCAGATCGAGGATCCTTATCACAACCTGCTAAAGATGACAGCTAATGAGTTTAAAATCCAATCAGGTGTAAGCATTGATGATCATGGCGGCAGTGATCGCTCAGCAATCATCATCATCGCCGCCGCAGTGATGAGGACAACAAAACCCAGAATGTGATTACAGCGAATGGGAGAGACGGAGGCGGCGGACGTTGGAATTGGAAAATATGAAGGTACTTTGTATTGATATACGCGGCGAGATTTAATTTACTTCCAAATGAAACATTACTCGTTCTCCAACCTTACCAGAGAAATGAACATTAAGGTTCCTTAGGAAATTACAGATTAGCGTCTGATTGGTGTTTTTACACGTCGGTTCTCAACACTCATAATGTTCCTGTTGGTAGGAATAAAAAATATCATAATGGAGGAAAGTTTGAACCTCTGAAAGGTGAGAAAGTTACAAAAACCCATCATGAACATGTTCGAACTAGAGTTTCGTCTCTTGGGGTCAGAATGACGTCCTGCTATCGTCTGAACTTTTCACCTTTGACCTTAGTGGGGTTGATTTTCACAGATTTTAGTTCTCATTGATTTTTAAGCTATTTCTTTAACTAAACCTGTTTTATTTTTCTACAGATCGTTTCCCTGCTTAAGTTCAAATCTGGGCGGGATTTGTGTCAAAAACACACAAACATGAAGGAGTTTATCTGGGAATCAGAGCCTGGAGGAAAACCAAAGAGCTTTTTATTTATTTTCCCAAAGTGTTCCTGGCTCAACGTTTCTGTTTTCTGTGAGAAGCAAAATCATCCACGCTTGTTAAACTTGTAACACTTTATGACATTACAACTACAAAACCCATGTCAGTGTGTCGTTTTGGGTTTTAAAGAAATTCATGAATGTAAATTTGAAGGAAGATACAAAATGTTTTGCATAAGAGTCCAAGTAATGTGGTGCAATCACATTTCATGTTTAGATTTTGCTCCTCGGAAATGAGACCAATAGTTTCCAGCATCTTCAGGACGTTTGATGTGTTTTTCTACCAGCTTTACACACCTATAGAGCTAAATTGGTGCCAAAAAGCTTGCTAAAGAAACATCCCATCCATCCATTGTCCTACACCCTTGTCCCTTAATGGGGTCAGGAGGTGCTGGTGCCTCTCCAGCTAACGTTCCAGGCGAGAGGCGGAGTCACCTGGACAGGTCGAGAGTCTGTCACAGACTAAAGAAACAATACTGAAAAGAAATTGAAACTGTAAAATAATTTTAAAACTGAAAAAAATAAAGATCATTAAAAAAACGGTTTTGAAAATGAAAATTAATTTTAAACCTTCTGCATTATTTTTTGATTCAAGCTGGAAAAGAATTTTGAAATAAAAAATTAAACTGAAAGATTATTTTGAAATGGAAAAAAAAATTTAAAGTGAAATTTAATTTTAAAACTGAAAAAAAGAATTGAAACTGAAAAATTATTTTGAAACAAATACGTTTTTAAAATTTAAAAATAATTTTGAAACTGAAATAATTAAACAGAAAGGTCAGTTTAAAACTGAGGTAATCATTTTAAGCCTGAAAAATAATTTTGTAATAAAAAAACATTACAGAAATAATTTTAAGACTAAAAAATATTTAGAAAGTGAAGAATAGTTCAAAACTACAAAACAAACTTTATGGCCCCATTTTAGTTCCATATTGGTGTTTTAGTAATGTAACGCTGCATAATAAAGTGATAATTTTGAAGTTTGAATCCAGATTTCCACTGAATCTGAAGCATCGTCTTGGTCTTCTGAACATTTCTGGTTCCCCTGTTGAAATGAACAGCTTGTGTTATAGATCTATAGAAATAATACATTTAAAGGACAAAAGTTTGAAATCCCAAATGGGAAGTTTTTTTTAAAGTAATGAAACCTGAAGCTGTCCATATCCAGGAGTAATTCTCTCACCATGTACAGATTTTGACATTGTGATCATTCTGAAACCAGACCTCAGCATTTATAAATATTAAAGTTTATGGCCTGGATTTCACTTTGGATTAAATTAGTAACTCTGAAGCATCTCCTTCGATACAACAATCAACTTTACTACATGAGTTCAGATCCAGGTGGTTCAACTCATTTTACTTCATTTAGTTGAAGCTTTAATAACGGGATTTAACCCAAGATTTGCTGCATAGTTTGACTTGGTTTCATTTAAGAATTAATCTTATTTTTAATCCAAACTGGGCTCAGATTAAGCAACTAGATGATGATTTATTCAAACATTTTTTTTTTCTCTCTGAACTGAAATTCTGATTTATATCAACTGTTGGGCCAAAAGTCTGAAAACAAACCTGAGTGAATAAAAACTCAAGTTTACCATGAATTTATGGCAGATTTTAAATACGAACCCTGGAAAAGATGATGGATGGATGGATGGATGGATGGATGGATGGATGGATGGATGGATGCTTTGAAACCATTAATCCCAAGTAACTTCACAACTTTTCCTCTTTTAAATTTTTTTATTTTGCTGTTTCAGGTTAAAAACATGAACAATAATCATTTGTTCCCATAATATATTTGTTACATGAAATTCTCACAAAATGAAATAAAACAAAAAATAACTTCAAGTTTGGATCAGAAACCGCTCATTTGTACAAACAATAAAGCTTAAAACAAAAGAAAACTCATTATTTTTATCTGTCCAGATGCTGAAGTCAAAAACTTTCATAGATAATAAATCCTTGTTTTTACAAAATTTGATTTTTGTCTAAAGTAGAAAACATAGAAAGATATGAAGAACACAGATGATCGGATCATCTCCAGTTTCCTGACTTTAAATGATGATCAGATCCAAAAATGATTTATTTGTTCTTCATCACTGAGATCTTCATCGGTTGAATTTTTATTGGTTCATCAAAAGTGAAGAAGAATGGAACCATCTTCTGTGTGAAGGTGTGTGTGAAGGTGTGTATGTGTGTGTTAGTATCCAGGTCAGAGAAGGACAGCTTTCCTCTGTCCCAGTCCAGATTCACTCTGATCCTCTGGACTTTATTCTGGATTGAGAGACGAGTGGGAGGAGCTGATGGACAAGATGCTGAGTATCCCAAGAAATTAAACTCTACAACCAACAATCCAGACTTTATGGCTCCCTTCCTCCTTACAGACTCTTCCAACACACCAAGTTTCCAGTATGAACTGTCTCCAACATCAACATCCCAGCTGTGGTTCCCTGAGTTAAAACCTTCAGAACTCAGAACACAATCCCAGTAACTAAACCTCTCTGGATTATCAGGAAGCTGCTGTTTCTCTCCTTTAGTCAAACTGGTCAGTTCTTCAGACAGATGGAGTTCTTTACCAGCCGTGTTTGGGTCCAGAACCAGAGGAGTGTAGGTCACCATGGTCTCCATGTTGCTCCAGATGTTGAAGGCCAGGTTGCCCAGATGTTTGGCCTGGTCTATCAGAGCTCCTCAGGGCAGTTGTGGATCCTCCAGCAGGGGGCAGCGCTGGACTCTTTCCACTGCAGCCTTGTAGTTGTGCAGGAATGAGACGTCTGCAGCTCTCAGCTCCTCCTCTGTGGCTCTGACTGTGTCTGAAAGAGCTGCTATCTCTCTGCTCAGAGCCTCCATCTTCTCCTTCATCATCCCTCTCTTCTGCTCCTCTTCCTCCCTCAGTGCAGCCAGCCTGGCCTCCTCTTCCTCTGCTAGAAACTGATGAAGCTGCTTAAACTGCTCCCTAATCTGCCTCTCTGTGTGTCGGGCCTGGACCTCCAGGTATTCTGCTGTCTGATCAAACTCCTCCTGAACTTTCTTCCTGAGCTCCAGCTTCTCCTCTAAAGGCTCCAGAGTTTCCTGAAGTTTCTTCCTGTGTTGCTGAGCAGCTTCATCGACGGGTCTGAATCTGTGCTCGGTGTGTAAATCTGAATCTCTGCAGACGAGACACACTGGCTGCTGATGGTCCAGACAGAAGAGTTTGAGTTCCTCAGAGTGCAGAGAGCAGAGACCCTCTGAAGCTTTTTGGTTTCTCTGCTGTAGGAAAGACTCACACAGATTCTTCAGAACCAGACTTAAAGGTGGTTGCTCTCTAGAAGATTTCCTCTTACAAACTGGACACTCTCTTTCTGGTTTCTCTCTCCACCAGTTCTGCAGACATTCCTTACAGAAGCTGTGGCTGCATGACAGAAAAACCGGATCCTTAAATATTTCCTGACAGATCGAACAGTAGAGATCCTCCTCTAACTTGGAAGCCATTTTGTCTCTGAGTGAAGCTGAAATCACAACAGACAGAACGTTAAACCAGGAAGTCACTTTCTCTCCTGTAGAAACTTTATTCTCTTACTTTCACTGTGATTTCCTTGTTTTTCCTCCAGCAGCAGTCTGTGTTCCAGTGTCTGCTTCCTCAGTTTTCTCTCTGCTCGCCTTCAGTCTGTCCTGAGTCGGTAGTTTGGTGGAAGGAAGGAGACACAGGTGATTTTGGGGTTTTTTTCGATTATTTTTTTTTTTTTTTTTTTTTTTCTCTCTGAACTATTTCCTGGGTTTTTTTCCCCAAGGATTCCTGTTGGAATTCCAGTCTTGAGGCAAAGATGTGGCGCCCTCTGAAGGATTTCCTGTGAATCTGCAGTTTTAGATAAAACACTGCAGTACTGGAGATTAAGGTGATTATTGGTGTGAAGGGAAAATTTTCCTTCTCGCAAAGACTCTGGTTCAGAATAAAAAATGTTTTGATGCAAATTTGAATGATTTCCTGTCATTTTTATAATGTGGCTAAAAACTGAGATGGTGTAAATGCAGAAAATACTTTAAATGTAAACCAAAATAATATTAAGAAATTCAGAAAATTAAAATAAAAGCCATGAAAGTATCAAAAATACCCTCTATTAACACTCCTCCATTGTTTATGTCGTATCAAACTTTCTTCAGTGATTTAAGTTGTCTCAAGTATTTAGAAACAGGTTTTATTGAACCTCAAAGCATCGATTTGTTCTTGGATGGTTCAGAGTCTCTGAATGTCATACTGTAGAGCTGAGTATCATCTGCATAGCTATGGCAGCTAATCTTATTTCTTGTTATAACCTGAGCTAACAGGAGCATGAAGGTGTTAAATTAGAGGAACCCCAACATGGAGCCCTGAGGGACCCCACATGTGATTTTTATCAGCTCTGATAAAAACGACACAAAGAAATCCCTGTTGATGTGATATTTCATTGTAAAATGGTTGGTTACAGGTACAAACTCATCATAAACATGTTGGATCTGATTGTTTCAGGTTTTTATACATTTCTAAGTTTTGGTTCTGAAGCCTCGCTGAGTTCGTTTCACCATCCAGCCGTTTGGTGATGTTGCTAAATTCAGCGATGCAGGAAGTTTCAGGTTATCCGACACATGAAGCCGAGCGCTAAACGATGAAAAGATCAGCTGATTTTATCACCGTCTGTCCAAGGTGGGATCATCATGTCAGCCACAGAATCCACACCTGATTGGTCGCTTTCTGCTCCCACAGCCTCGTTCTCCATCAGGTATCAACACAAAATGATCCGACTTCTGTCTTATTCGACCCATTCATCCCTGCTAACATCTAATCATCCACCTTTCTGCATGTTGGTGTTTTTACAAATTTATCCCACTTTTGAAGGAAAATTACAACTAAACTTTATTTAGATGTACCAGAGCAAACGGGGGAAAACACAAACACATGCCACACTTTTCAGATTTTAATCTGTAAGAAAAGTTAACTTTCCTTCATTACAATAAAAATCTAATAAACTGAAGTTTGTTCAGTCCAGAACATGTAGCATGTTAACTTTATTCTCCTCTAAAATAGAGATGTTTCTGGTTCAAATGCTGATTAATTTTGCAAGAACAAAAAAATTATTTCTGCAACTTTCACTCTTTCATATGATTGGCGGCCATATTGGACTGAAGGGAAACATTCAAAGTTTGAATTTTTGACCTCAAAATGAAAC